TTGTAAATGCCATCTAGTATCGATGGAGCTGGACATGTGCTGAATAAATAATTCATTCAGTTGCCATTAAGCATAATGAATATTTGTAACGCCTTACAATGACGAATTGGGGGTTAAAGGTTAATTTTGTAATAATTAAATATATAAACATAAAAGAGAAATGGCCGAAGGTTGTATATCAAATCTGGCAGCTACCGAAATAACCATTCGGAATTTAAAACTTGAATTTCAGATCAGTGTCGTTCAGACCAGTTCCATTTCAGGCTGTATTAAAAAAATAGGTCTACGGTCTATGGTTTGACATTGCGCAGGAAACTCAAATAGCAATTATCTAAGATAATCATACAATTAATTAAAAATAGTTGTTTTATTTTTTTTTTTTTCAAGTTTCGCAAACAGCTCGACACCGGGAAATTATTTTCTTGGACATATAATTGATTTTTATTTCCTTATTTAATCGGAATCGTTAACCTACTGACTGGAAATCGAAATTTATAGCGACAAATTTCAAAGAAATTTTTTCACCGTCCGTCGTCTCCCCCCCCCCAACCCCCTCTTTTGCTAATGGGCCTACTAATACGGCATGGTTCAAGAATCTCGAAGTTGAACATTGTCTTAAAATGTTTAGAGCCAAATAAAAAAAAAAAATAAACAAAGAATATTTGACGCTCAAAAACCACAAGAATTGTATTTTGTTATTAATTATGTTTTATTTATTGATAACATCAAAGAGTGGACGGGATGCTGCGCGTAATGCAGAAGACAGACGAATGGAGGAGAAGAGTTCACGTGTCATCTATGGCGCCCCCCAACGGTCCAAGGACTAAGGGACATGATGATGATGATGATGTTTTAGTGTTGTGTCGACTTTTAAAAATTTTATTTGCATTATCTTTTTCCCATTGTTTCTGTTATTATTAGTATTATTAATTAATCATTGAATACAAATAACTAGCCAAGCAGTGGCGGAGGCGATGCGTGAACTTCTCTTTGACTAAAGTTAGTTGACAAAACATGCATTCAAGAAACGACCTTTATAAAAACGCACCACTTAGTGCTAACTTCTGAGAATGTTATTTTTTGGCACCTAATGAACATGCCATTACGACCATGCATACTTAATGTACCTAGAGCCTAGAGAAATAGCATGTGTGATTTTAAGGTGTTATAAGGAGAGCGACTGCAATCATGTTAGCAAAATATAAAATGAGTAAAAAAAAAATGGGTTAAACCTGAAAAAAGGAACGCAACATAACAACGAACGTGTCGGAAGGAAGCCTTCGTCAGCGAACAAAACAACAGAAAGAACAGAATAAAATTTAAAAATAGCACTTAGCTTAGAAATAGTATCCATGGGCAGCAAATGAATTGTGACAGAAAGTAAGTGAGTGAGAGATTAAATAGGGAAGGGGGGAAAGAAAAGAGGAGCGGTAAGTTCACTGCGATAGGTTGGGACGTGGAGGGGCGAGGCTAGGTTCAAGCTGTGAAAAGAGACATGACGTTCATACCATATGAAGTCAATGTGCCATAAGTCAAGATAAGCTTGTGTTCCAAATTCACCCGCCTGGGTGTGTTCGTGCTAGCCACGATGTTGATTTTAAGGTGTTATTGAAAGGGGATGTCCTCTAATTACGTCAACAAAATGAGGGGATGGAAATGTTGGACAGTTTTTGACAAAGGGGAAGGGGGGGGGGGAATTAGTTGACGTCAACATGCATGTTTTTTCTATTAAAATTTATTTTTTTAAAATTGACTGGTTCTTACATTTTTTTAAACAATTTGATCAGTGTAAATAGTCATATATTGTTAGGCTTTTAACAATGTAAGAGTTATTTAAGTCTTGTCTGTCTGTGCACTGCAGGTAGCTGATCAGAATGTTTGCACACTTTGTTAGTGAAGGAGAAGTCAAAAGTTGGCCTCTCTTCACCTGCAGATTATGTTTGTCGCAATGATTAGGGCGGTATGTTTGCGGTCATGTTGCATGTACCGTATGGCAAAAGCATGTTCAACAGCACAGACAATGCCCTCTTGAGCATAAGAAGTTTCCACCTGCTCCTCAACAAAAAAGGATTCGACCAATGCGAGTAGCTGCAAGAAGACGGCAGAGCCGTTCTTAGGAGTTTGGGGGCCCTAAGCATGGAGCGTAGGTTGCGGGCCCCGGAAGGTGGGGTCCGGGGGTGGAGCTCCCTCGAGCTGAGGAGAAAACACCACCCACCACTGAGGCACCTCCATTCTGCCTTCATCAATGTTTCCTCTTTCCCATTCCCACGGCCAAGCCCCCGATCTCCTGTCTGCCATCCCGAAAGCTCCCCCCTGCTGCTTCCCTCCCCCTGCCTCCGAATTCAACTCAGAATGATAAATTTCAGGATGAGGAAAGTAACGTGAGTGACACAGACGGCTGCAGTGCCAGTTTTAAAAAAAACCCGGGGGATCGAGGGCGCCTCACGGGGGCCCCCTCACGTTCGGGGCCCTACGCGGATGCGTAGTCAGCGTATTCCTAAGAACGGGCCTGGAGACGGAGAGCGCTTATGGTAATTATTGTTCAAACCGACAATGCTTCTATTTTAAGTGCTGAATGGTTAGATAAGGATGATGTTGACTTGTCTGGTGTATCAGTTCCGCAAGATGACAATGATAATTCAACTACTATAGACTATACCCATCAGGGGCGTCATTTCAGGGGGGGGGCGAAACCAAAACGTTTTCGGCTTGTTAAGTTGTTTATTACTGAAGGTGCCACAGTACAAAGCAATTTAAATAAAACCTGAAAAATCAGTCGGGGAGGGGGGGGGCATATACCCCCTGCCCTACCGAAATGATGTTCCTGGTGCCCATTTTTACGATAGAGCAATACCTGCCTACTCCATGGTAAGATAGCAGCTAGGTACTATTCTACAATTGTCAGCTGTACTGACAATAATCATATTTCTATTTCCACAAACATTTATATTAAGTCTTTAAAAACCTTTTAATTGATTTTGTATTATAAAATTTAAGTGGAAACACTTTTTAACTTCTTGATTAACAAGCTAAAGATTTAATACAATGTTTTTCCTACAATTTTGTGTCATTAAAAATACATCAGCACAAGGTAAAACGTATTAATAAATGTATTTATATTATAATTTATTGGGGGTGGGGTATAAAATGTTGACAAAATTTAATATGGAAAGGGGGGGGGGTCATCAAAAGTTTGAGAGCTGTTGAAAAAAAGAAAAAAGGGGGGGGGGGTAAAAATTGTTGACATAATTAATGGACGACCCCTAATTTTACCGATTTTGTTTTGTTATGAGTGTTACTTATGCTTTTCCATTGTTTTACCGATGTGTTAATTTATTTTTATGTGCCCTCAATACAGTCATAAAACTGGAATTTGAGGTGCAAAGTGTTCCTATTACAATAAGATTATGATACCAAAAGTGTACAATTTGAGTCACATGAGTGTGTTGCGAACAAACATTCTACATGTACAAGGAAACTACAAAAGCACTGGCGTAGCTATGACTACGAGTGTGATTGTGATGTATGGAAAGACCGTGTGTGAAAATGATAAGGATTAAATTTACGAGACTACAGTTCCAACTAGGTGAAGTGAGGGGAGTATCAAGACATATGAAAGCTTGGAATTTTGAGGAAAAAAATCAAATGAATGAAAGTATCTGTTGAAAGCCCTCTTCGGCGAACGGAAACAAAAGAAATACAGGAACAAAATATGTTTTATATTAACAAAAGTTGGTGTAAAAAAAAATTAAATAATTTTGTACCCTTACGCTTGGTTTCAAACATATAGTTGTCTTTTCTATTTTTTTTTTTTTTTTTTTTTTTTTTTTTTTTGGTAATGTTGTCATTGTGTAACTGTAGCCTGCCCAAGTGCCCATTCATTAGATTGGCACCCAGGCGCTCCCCTTTAACATAAGTTAAAAGTTGCACGATTGTTGTAATCAATTGCAATTCCATCTTACATACTGCTTTTCATATACAAACTTCTTCATTGACTCGAACTCAAGAGTATACAACCTTTTACCTACCTAAAGAGGCCAATATTAAAAAATGAGGGGATCGCCAAAAATTACATCACATTAAATGATTATTGGCTCGATGACAAATCGTTGGAAAACGGAGTAATTTTTTATTTTTTTTTACTCGATCTGCGTTCAAAATATAAGTAATAAAAATAAATAGCACCATAGATAGATTTGCCTCAAATAATACGCATATGCCTTTCAAAAATAGCATCCTATAATAATAAATATAGACTTTAAATTAAAATAGACTTGATATATATATATTTTTTTTTAACTGTTAAAAGTCATACTCGTCTAGTGTCTTGACCAGACTTAAGATATGCTATTTATACTAAATGGGTCTATAATTTTTATTTATAAAAATAACTATTATTTAATTAAATATATTTTTTTTTAATTCCTAAAAAATTTTTAATGGTATTGGCTACTTCTTAAAAGTTATTAAGTCAGAATTTAGAAATCCCCTCTATTAACAACCACTGCATTATGTGTTAGCAAAAATAGCCAATCGCGTGGCGAGAAATGTCGCTGCGGACTTGGCATGCGCGCGATTTCCTGCCAGAGGTTTCCATAAAATGTTTATTTTGTTTGTTTACAGATTTGTGTCTCATTTTGTGGAATACTTAAATTAATATTCTTTTTGATACATTCACATTGCTACTCGTTTGAACATCAGTTATTCAGGTAAGGAATGAGCGGACACTATGACTTCAGCTTTGCATTTTCTATTTATTATTAGTTATTTTCTGCCTCTGATGTGGAAATCGGGATGACGCCGAGAAAAAACTGAGAAGTTGCTTTATTATTTTGCAAATAATATCTATATTTTTAATTCTGACTATTCCCATGGAGGTTATATTAGTTTTCTTTCAAATATTTAGCATTTTAGAGACTGTGGTTTGGGATGGCACTATGAAATAAACAATAATTTGGTAGGGACTAAGAGAGGGAAAATTTTCAGTGGGTTCCTTCCCCTGGCGCCCTTGGCTAACTCGGCCATCAACGATAGGTTTAGTGTGGTGTGCACCACCAAGGTGAGGAATAACTCTGGGGATACAAATTTTTCATTGTTGTCGGTCCTTCTCAGACATCCATTACCAAATTTAATGCAAACAGATTGACAACTCCTATTCCACCTATATAAATGTATTACTTTGATAAAATGTACCAAGTCTTAGTCCTAGAGTAGGCCAGAATAGGGTCTATACTATTATTATTAAATTTAATGCCTTTTTTTCACTGGCTAAAACTGGACTGAAGGTTGGTTTCTTCGGCATCACTTAAACTAAATTTAATAAGTGTGTCCCTAAATGCCTAAATAGTTTGTATAGGCCTATGATCTTTTAATGCACTATGTTACATAACTAGGCTTAGTTATAGCTTATCCCCTAGCGGTAACCCTATATCATATGACATATGTTAAATATTATTAGTATTAGTAATTATTATTAGTATAAAATATTTGGTCCTTTATTAATTGCTAAATTTTTCTTGGTGTTTCAATTTACAAAATTGAGATTATGATTGATTATCTTATCCGTATTTAGATATCCCTCTGTAAACTCTTTTGATTTATGACTTAATAACTTTGGTTTAGGATTCTTATTCGGTTGAAAAATAATATGATTTTCATTGTGATAATTTCATTTTCATTTAAATATGAAATAGAAAATTATTGAATAAGATTAAAATTATTCCCAGGATTAGGCTTACTTAATTAGAATAACTTTTATTAGGTGTAGTGATTTAGTCGTTTAATAATTAAGACCCAACTATGATTTCAATTAGGCCTATATTATTTTTCTACTTTGGCCATCATTTTAGAATTTAGTAAAAGAATCATTGAGAACTAATTTAAAATTAAACTTACATCAAATTAGTAACTATATGCCAATGGCTATGATTATAGATAAAATATACTAAAATACTTGGTGCCCTCTACCAGTAATCATGGATATTAATATTGCTTTTTTAGGAAATATTAGGTACGGTTGGACATGCGAAGGGAGCACCTGTTTAATTTCATTTGTTTAAATTATAAGTATTTTTAACAAAGAAAAGGAAAAATTAGATTATTTTAAAAATCAACAACCTGTTATAGGTTTCAAAACTAATAACCCAAATTTGGTTTATTGATATCCTTACTTGTAATATTTGTATTAATGATATTGCTCACGTTTGTTCCTATGGTTATAATAACTTAAGCCTACACTACTCTACAAATATAGTTGGTTTTTTTTGTGGTGAAGTCTTAAGATATTTTGTTCTTTAAACATGATTTGAAGGTTTTTTACCTGTGCACAACTGAAATGGCTAAAAGTGTCCAACATTCCAAGATTATATACCCTCCATCATGCAAAGAGTTGACAGATGATGTTGGAAAAGATGAGCTGATACGTCGTTTGAAAGTGAGTTAACTTGTTCATGCATTTTCCTACATGAATGTATTATTTCTATAACTGATAATTTTTAAACATGTTATTCTATACACTAATTTTCATCAACTTTCAAATGATGGATCTTATACTACCTATGGAAATATTTAAATCCCATTTCACTTCATGCAATCATTTTCAAATAAAGTATTAGTTCAAAAGAAATGTATGATTTTAAAATGTATGTGGCGACTTATTATTCAACAAAATATCAGGTTTTGGCTCGGGCATTTCAAGACATGGGTCAAGATGACAATGACAGCTATGCCCCTCTTGCTCTGCACTTGGCTACAGACACATACATGGAACATAGTAACAAAGATGTTCGACTTCTTACTGCTTGCTGCATTGCAGATGTGTTCCGTATATTTGCCCCAGAAGCACCTTACAAAGAGCAAGATCAATTAAAGGTATTTCTTGTATAAAACAATTTTGATTAAAACTAGTAATTATGCTAAATACATGTAATTACACTAATACACATGAAAAGGTTATAAAATTAAATTTCTGAATTACTTGGGAAGCAGAATATACCGTTTACATCCTCTGCTAGGAATCTTAGTTATATTCTTTCTAACAACATGTCTCTCGATAAACATATCTCTCACGTTTGTTGCTCTGTATGCACTGCTATCCGTCAGATCAGCTCTATCCGCCACTACTTCACAGTTAGCACAACAAAAACACTAGTCTATGCTCTTGTTCCCTCTCGTCTTGACTATTGCAACTCTCTTCTGTCAGGTTCACCAAACATTTCATAGAAAAACTGCAGAAAGTTAAAAACTCAGCTGCTAGGTTAGTTCTAAAGGCAAAAAAATACGTGATCATGTCGCTCCACTCACTTCATTGGCTCCCTATACAGGCATGCATTGATTACAAGCTGTTCTCTCTCACAACTTTTTCTCGGATTCCTGCCCTTCCTATCTAACCAAACTTCTTTCTGTCTATTCACCCTTTCGACAGCTTCGCTCCCCCGCAGACACACATATTCTGTCCGTACCCCAGAAGCGCACTAAAACATGGGGATCGATCTTTCTGCGCCCTCAATGGGATTTGTTTGCCACTACACCTCCGAAATATACCAACCACGCAGGCCTTAAACTTCACTAAAAACACATCTCTTTAAACTCTTACTACCTTGACTGATTCCCCCCTCTGACCGATAAGCGATGCTGCTGGCTGCCGTCCATGGTTTAACATGTAAAAGTTCTGGGGTGGGTTGGGTGAATATACTTTTGTTTTGTTATTATGCATCTGTTCTTTATTGCATAAATGTATTTTATTTTAATGTCACGATTATGTCTCTTTTGCTAATATTTTTGTGTACAGCGTGGTGAGCCCAGCCCTAGGCTGGGGTACCACTTTATATAAGACCACTATTAATAATAATAATATAACTGAAACTTAAAATTTAAATAAAATCATATTTTACTTTGTTTAGTTTTTTAACATTATTCATTGTTTGATATCAGAACGTTGTAATTATGAGGCTTCTGACGGTAAAAATATTTTTGTAATAGGAAATATTCATGTTCTTCATTCAACAACTGAGGGGGCTGGAGGATCCAGACGCTCCTTCTTTTAAGCGTTACTTTTATTTGCTTGAGGTAAATATTGAACTGAATTGTGTGAACTTTAAGGTAGTATCTATGATCAAAATGAATTTAAACTTAATATTCTTCATGCAACACATATTATGGTGCATTACATATGAGATGAAACCATTATTAGCCATAACTACAACAGAGATTTATACATTATACTATAACTTGACACAAAGCCTTTTAGGGGCTATGTGAGAGAGTTTAATTTGATATAATCTTGAAAAATTTGTTAATGTGATAATTTAATTTTATATTTATGAATTAAATACAAAAATAAATTTGTTCAATCTACTAAAATGAATTTATTATTATTTCAGAACCTGTCTTGGGTCAAATCCTTCAATATTTGTATTGAACTAGATGAAAGTCAAGAAATTTTCTGTGCCCTCTTCAAACTTTTTTTCTCAATAATAAAGTAAGTACCGTTAGCAATTTATCAGGCATGTGTAAATATTCCTTCTATGAATAGTTTGCATGGCTAAGTCTGTGCGATTTGTGCCAACATTATGAATTTGTTTAACTCTCTATCCTTCAGTGATAAACATACAAGCAAAGTAAAAACATTTATGCTTGACATCATGGCTCCTCTCATCTCTGAGGCAGATTTTGTTTCCCAAGAACTATTGGAGACTATTCTGGTCAACATGGTTGACCCAGTAAAGGTATTTTTTTTTTTTTGCAGCATCATATGATAACAAAAAAATGTGGTTTCAATTATGGAATAATAATTAGCTTGTTTTTTATAAATTATTTAACTAAATTTTACAGGGTTACGAAGTCCTCTCAAATATATATATATTTGTAGAGCTACTGAGAATTTATAAAAATTCATTACCCATTTAAATAGAAATGTGAAAGTGTATCCACTCAAATTAGACGTGTTTGATCAGGCTTCAACTTTAGTCTTTGAATACATATTTATTATACATTGAATTAAAAAACATTAAAATAAAATTTAATAATTATTTGAATCCGTTATCTTTTCTGATATAGTCTCACAGGAAAATGGCATACATAATGGCTAAAGACTTAATCAAGAGAACATCATCAACTATAGAGCCTTGCATTCAGACTGTAAGCCAACTTACAAATTATTGGTGCTGAAAACATAAATTTGACTTTATATGCTTCTAATAGACAAATATTTGATGTATAAATATATATTATATATGTCATGTTTAGAAAAATAAAGCAATTAAATCAAAATTTTATGCTTATTAATAATTGTGTATACTGCTTATGAAGTACAAATTTTGTTTTTAAATATTTATATTACAAGTATATCTACATTTTTTGTTTTGACACTTGTATCTGTTGTAAAATGTTTAAAAGAAAATCATTAGTGTCAGTGTTTTTATTTGTTTTGTATTGTTCGACAATTAGATAAAATTTTAAGAATCATAAATATAAACAATACATATAAAATTAAATGTCTGGATTCATTTCATTTCCTCCCTTGTAGTTTTTCAACAATATGTTGATGTTAGGAAAGCAAGCTGACAGTGAAATTGGAAATCATTTATATGACCTCATCTATGAGCTAAATCAGGTCTCTCCAAGCATTCTACTAGCTGTTATACCTCAGTTGGAATTCAAATTAAAGGTAAAAAGTGTGTTACAGCGCCTTTTTGGTCATATAAATTTTCTTTTTTTACACCATTTATGTTTGTTTAAGTGATGAATAACTTTTAATAATATTTAAGTAATTAAGTATTGTTCTAATTTTTTATAAAATTAAAAATCTTTTTAAAAATTCAATTTATTATATTTATATAATGTTATGACTTTTACCTTTTAAAAATGTAGACCTAAAGCATTATAATTTGTATTGTCTTTCTGATGTTTTTTTTTTTTTTATTTATAATTTTGAAAAATACATATTAAATACATGTATAAGATAACATTTCCAAAATGCTCTATGTTCAATGCAGAGCAATGAAGAAGCTGAAAGGAAAAGTGTCACTAAGCTTTTGGCTAAAATGTTCTCTGAAAAAGATTCAGATCTGGCATCTCAGAACAGAGCCCTTTGGTTCTGTTTTCTTGGAAGGTTTGTGTTATACTAAAAATACAAGCATTCAGTGCTTCATATTTATTCCAATTTTTTAAGCCATTGAATTAGAGAACATTGTGGGTTTTTTTTAAGGATTTCAAATGAAATTGGTCATTTGGAAAGAGAACTGAACTTTTAAAATGTAAACATTTGATTGATTCTCAACAAACTCTATCACAACTTGTTAAGAGATTATCTGAAATGTTTTATAACAGGTACAATGACATCTGTGTCGCAATCAGAACAGTGTGCATTCAACAAACACAACACTTCATTTTGAATCACCCAGAACTTGTTAAAGATGTGCTTGGTAAGAGAATCCTCAGAACAATTTTTAAAGACTTTCTTGCTATTTACATATCCTTCTTGTTTGTCCATCGTAATTTTAAAAAAAGCAACAAAAAAACATAACTAAGTTGATCATTGTTGATCACGTCTGCTTTTTTCAGTGAAGTGTGGTTAGGGGAAATCAGGTGTACTTTTTTGTTTTATGCCTAGGTAAAGAGTTGACTCATTTAACTGGGATTTTTTTCTTTAAAGTAATTAATTCTACTTTTGTCGATAACTTTAGGATTACAATTTTAATACTAGAATGTAGAAAATAAAAACATATTTTTAAAAAACACTGTCAAATATGAGTTTAATCGCACTTAAACATGACATCAGATATTAAAAGTTTTAATAATTTTTAAAAATATTTTCTGCAGTCTTTCTTTGCGTAATGCTTATTAAGAAATTTTTATTATTTTCTACTTTTTAGTGCTTTTAAACTCGTCTTTGATAGAAGATCTTTTTTAACAAGTTTCCTGCATTTTTAGATGAAATTAATTATTTTTTATAATTGTAGTTTTAATTTTAAACTGGGCTTGTTTATTTATTTTATTTGATCATTTAAACTAACTTAGATGATTCAGTTATTGTCTCACACAAGATTATAAATACAATTATTGAATTTTAAATCTCAAGAGCAAATAAAAGTTCGCCAGCATGACCCAGAAGAGACTGTGCGATTAGATGTTGTAGAGAGTCTGTGTAAAGTGGCCAAGTCAGATTTGAAGGCCATGACGTCTGAAATGTTGCAGTTTGTTAAGGAGAGAACACTAGATAAAAAGGTAAGTTGAATCAGCTTATTGTTGAGATTAAAATGAAAATTCACGATTTCTCAAGGATAGAAAAATTGATTAAAAAAATTTTATTTATTCAAATAACTATGTTATTTTCAAAATACTATGTTCCGTTTCAGTTCAAAATTCGCCGTGAAGCCTTATGGAACTTGGGAAATATGTATAAACAGGCTGTTGTTGATAAAGAGGTTCCAGATCCTGAACTGGCCAGTAGGCTAGAGTTTGTTAAGAACAAGATTTTGCATCATTATTACCAAAATTCAACTGATGACAGGTATTTTTCATTGATCATTTTGTAGATTTTTCACTTTTTTAAGATGTTCAAAATAATTGGTAAAAGTACAATTTTTTAAACACTTTATAGGGTATTAAAGTGATTGCTTGATGATTAATATAATATAACTAACAGCAAACTTTTTGTTGTTTTACAGCTGATTGTAGGCAAATATCTTTGATAAGAACAGTTTATTATGTTTTAAAACATTGTTTCTTGATGAAGAACACAAGGTCTATAGAGTAATTTTATTATTTTAAATTAAAAAAACTGAGCAGGAAAAAAATAAATTAAGTTTTGACAAATTGTTTTAACAGGGCTGAAACTCTCCTTTAAAAAAACTACTGGAGTAAATTCCCTTTGCCTTTCTCAACTTCTTTTGACACACTTACCTAAGTAGAAATTTGTTTTTGTTGAATGCAATAAGTTTATCAAAATAAACTTGTACACTATATTAATTTGTAGTCATATTCCATTTCTTTAATACTAAATAAAGAGATATGTATGTATATAGTGACATGGATTAAATGATAAATGTTCTTCTCAATAAATTTTAAGATTTATCATTTTTAAAGCTACAAGAAATTATTGAAGGCCAGCAGGATTTTTTCACCTACAAACAACCTCTGTGTAAGAAAGCCTCAGCAAATTTCTATGAACACATACCATCAAAATTCATAATTTTCATCAAAATTCATATTTTTGTTTTCAAATTTGTTTTCAGGATTCTAGTAGAGAGGATGCTGAATATTCACCTGGTCCCCTTCCAGAGACAAGTGAATGAGAAAATGACCATTCTTCTCAACCTCTATTCTACTCTTGATGAACATGCTGTCAAGTAAGGGACTTGGTCCTGCTTTTAATGAAAATTCTAACCAGAAATGTCAGCTTATTTTCGAACAAACTTTATTTGTCAAATTACGCTCACTTGTTCATAAATTAATATCTTTGCATATTAGATGTACAATTAAATTCAGTTATTTATTTATTTTTCTAGAGCTTTCTCCGAGATCCTAAAAAGCCGAAACCTGTAAGTACATTTTTAAAAACTTATAAATTTGTACCTAAGCGTTTGTATTTTTGACACCCACACTTTTAGGTTACCTGGCTACCCTTTTTCAGCAAAGAGGTGTTGCCTTACTTATCATTACCAGCAGTTTAATCATATCTGAAATGCTTAATTTTTCAGAGCACGTCATTTAGTCCAACAAATAATAGAAGCTCATGATAAAGCAAATGAGGCTAGCCCACCACCCGTTTTACCGAAATTGGTGCAGCTGGCACGTAAGTGAATAATGCGGATAGCTCTGACAATTTGCTTTCACTTAGATAGGTCTACTGAAGTACTTAAGTGATTTACCTTACAACCTTTTAACCAGTAAAAATTTTAAAGGATATTTAGATTAAACATTAAATTGTAATTTTTTTACACTTAGACATTTTTTAGACAAAAAAAAAATCAGAATGTATAGACATATGAGGCTGGCTTTCATTCTTGTATTATTCACTCAGGTACATTGCCAGAATCAGTAAAGCCTCACGAGAACCTAAAGAAATTAAATCTAATGTTAAAAGATGACACTCGTTTGAGGATGCTGTTCAAAACGCTTGTTGGACCAAACTGTTCATGCAAGAAAGCTGAAGAGATAGTGGTATTGCTAATTTACTTTTTTAATCCGTTGGCCATGCTAAAAGAAAAACTTTTGTAAAGCTCTTAAAATGTATCAATATTTCCCAGCTATTTTTTATGGACCATAAACTACAACGTTATTTACTTTCTGTTTTTTTTTTATATTGTTGTCATTTTCTGATTTCAAAGTTTTGTGGTAGATAAATCCTTTTCGACTTTTTAAAGCTCTTTATGTCACAAGGAAACTTTAACTGGTCTGTATTCTGAATAAAATATTATTTGTATAGTTTAGATGGAATATCTGCTTTCCTTTTGTGATTGCAAGCTACAAGCATTCTAATTATATCTAAATTTAATATTTCAGAAAGATATTCTGAAGAAAATTGGTGTCACCCCAGGTGTGGCAAACTTTATTTACCAAATGACAAAATCCCTTGTGGAAAGGATTGCTCCTGTGATGGTGGATGCATTGGCCATTGATCACCTGGTGCTTGCAGTGTCTGAGAAGGTTGCTAGCATTGATGATGATGGGAAAGATTTGATGGAAGCTGGTGTGCAGAAAGGTGTCCAACTTCTATTGGTAAGTGGTTCAGTTTGTTGTTGTTTGTTACCTCTAAGAATTATTTCCTAGATTTTTACACTTAAAATATAACCAAGACTTATAATATGGTTGAGCTGTTAAACATAATTAAAAAGGCAGGAGTTTCAGGACCAATATTATCTTTTATAAAGAAAAGATTTTCTGTATTCTTTTTCCTCCATGTCTGAAAAATATCCCTAAAACTAAATGTTTATAAATTTATTTTCAGACTTTGTCATACTATTTCCCGTATTACTTCAAATCGCTTGAGATATTTGAAAACTTTCTCTCATTTGTCAAGAATGATGATGATGTCGTCAGTAAGTGGATTTTTTTGTGTTTTAAGGAGATATTTTTCCTTCCTGGGATTTTTATTCTTCTAGATTAAATATTTATCTATTGGGTAAAAATGTTACTTTAATTTTTTTACAATGAAAAGCATAAATAACTGTTTCTGCTGTTAAAGGTGACTTGGCGATACAGATAATCACAAACACAGGTTCCCGCTTGCATATGGACCACCCAGAGGTCTATTCGTAAGTTAATTAATTAAACATAATTATTTTTTTAAATGTATCATTTGAAATTATAGTAATACTTTTTTTTTTTTTTCGTGTTCATTCTATTTTCTATGCTTGAATCTAAACAAAAACTTCAGCTAGGTTTTGTTAGAGCTGATATTTTTGTCATTTATGGTAGCAACCTTCCTACCACTTGCATGTAAATTTCAGATCTCTAGTTCCTATTCTTATCAACCTTGCAAAGTTTGGTACACCCAAGCAAGCTAAACACGCACTGAGGTGCATTAATACTATCTGCATCAACAAGGAATCTGCTGTTGCCAGTATTTTTGAGGTTTGACAAATTTTATTTGTTCTTTTCTTGTATAAAACCAGAATATATGCTAGAATTATCAGTAAATTATTAGTTAAAATGAAAGAAGTCGTAAAAAGCAGCTCACAAAGCGTGGAAAACACATTTGCTGTTTACTGGGTACACAATGCCTGCTGTGTACAGCTAAAGCGACTATGTAGGCAACCCTTGCTCACAATCTTTACATTATTTATCCTTGAAATAAACACAATTTTTTTTTTTTTTTACTGTTACATGCAATAAAATTTCTGATAATTTTTTTTATTAAATCATCTGTGTTAACTTTTTGTTTAATGGCCTTAAATAATATATTTTTTCTTGGCAGTCTATTCAAAATGCTCTCAACCCTGACAATGCAAATTACCTAACAGCCATCGTGTCACTCGGTCATATTGCTCAGTTGTTTCCGAAGCTCTATCCCACAGAAATCAAAAGCATAGTATCCAAAGTCATTGTCAAAGACCTTCTTATGAAAGACAGGGTGAGACTTTTTCATTGCTCTCATTACTTTTGCAGACCTGTTTACTCTTACGATTTTGGCGTACAATGTACGATTTTTAGATGTCTTTTACGATTGTACGCCAAGACCCTCCAAAACTACGATTTTCAGAGACCCGGTGGAAAAAATTTTCCCCGATTTAAAAAAATTAATACATTTTCGGGTTTGGACGTTTTAGCCCTCTCTAATGAAGATCTGGCAGTGAATATGAACGAAAAAAACCATTGGTTGTTTTGTTTTTTTTTAAAGTTGGGACCATCCTTATTATATTTGGAAAGTACTCATGGGGAGTGGGGAGGTGGGGTTGTTGATGACGGAAATTGTGGCATACGAGACACGCATGGGTAGGGGATTGGTGGGAGTGTCAAAGGATATAAATAAATAACCCCGACGTATCGTATTTAGTATTGACGGGATCACAGTGAACTAGCTGGCTGCTGCGTCAACAGTAATATTTAGACTTGTCGCCCTAGCCACAACTTCACTCACCATCGCCTTTGACTGCTACCAAGCGTGTGACGTAGTTTTGGTACAGAATTATTTTGTTCCTCAGAACCGCGGCGATTGTAAAAATAGAGATGGTTTTTTAAATAAAATAGATCATCCAACTGTTCTGCAGTGGAGCCTTGGATTTTGGCATATTTGATAAGATCCAGTCACCGACGTAGTAGTTGGATAGCTTTACGTTAACAAGGTGGTGAGGGGGTTATGAATATTTTTTACATTTCATTTTGCCTACCAAGTTTGTTATATATGGATGTCCCATTGTCCCAACAGCCCTGGCGTACGCAGTGGGCTCCATAGACGGATGTGCACATTGTCCCAACAGCCCTGGCGTACGAAGTGGGCTCCATAGACGGATGTGCACATTGTCCCAACAGCCCTGGCGTACGAAGTGGGCTCCATAGACGGATGTGCACATTGCGGTATTTTAATGTTTCCGGCGAGCCTTTTTGTTTTCGTTACCGTAGTTGAGCATGCACACTGCACAATACATTACGATATGGCATCAATGAAATGAAAGGCACAATACATTACGATATGGCATCAATGAAATGAAAGGCACAATACATTACGATATGGCATCCACACAATGAAAGGCACAATACATTACGATATGGCATCAATGAAATGAAAGGCACGCGAAACCGATGATGAAGAAGGAACTTCAACTGAACATCAAATTCAGCAAAAGAAATTTTATTCGCTGATATCCTATCTTGAATGTCAGACAAAATTGACTGAGTTGCGTTCTTCAAATAAGGGTCCATCAGACGCAAACTGCACAGTCGGACTTTTCATTAGCAATCAATCAGAGATAAAAGGAGTGGTGTTGATTTAAGAGATTGTGTGCATGGAGCCGGTCTAAGTATTTCAATTTATATACTCAACACCGCCAAATTTTCGTAATGACAGTTCGGGTGTGTGTGTGCGTGGTTGGGGGGGGAGGGGGTGTCCTCGGCAGAAAGTATGTGCGTTATTTAAACAATTCTGCAACATTCATCCCGAAACTCTGAAAGTCCAAAAATAACATTTCTATCTCGAATGGTGTAAACTACCAGCCAATGTGTAGTAGGCATTAGACTCGTGATGTTGTCAAGGGGTATTTTCACAAATCAACTGGCTTGCTATACTCAATAGTGGAAGAATTACAGTACGGTGTTAAGTCTACCGAATGTTCAACGCGCGCATGACGTATATTTCGTTGGGCTACGCCAGTGGTTCTAAAATATTTGTTTGCCGGCGCCTGTGCAATATTAGGTTTTCACCAGGCGCCTTGCGTGACATTCTAACAAGTGCATTTGGACATAGCGAATACCAAAATAAAATAAAGGGTGGGATAAAAATAAATATAACACGTATGTAGGTCACTGAGCGCCATCTGTAGCTACAAACAGTAGATACTCAACTGGGTAACTGGACCGAAAGATGTCACATTGGATTAAAAGTAAAAATAAAATTATGAAATTTTTTTAATATTTCGCAACGCCCCTGTGAGGAAGCCGCAGCAGCCCATTTAGAAAATTTTCACCCCCCATTTAAAAGGACAATTTATTGCGCCCTTAATCTTTGTGTAAATGGTTTTTTTATAGTTGAATTGACTGTTTAAGTTCCTTTCTATAGACGATTTTTCACGCGGTTGCTCTTCGTTATATTCTCATGGCCCTGCCCAAGGGCAGCGAGCACCCAGGGCGATGTAGTCCGATGTAGCATATATTATGTGAACCACTGGGCTGGACGAATCACCAGTGGTGAAAACCCGTGTCACATTTTGTTTACTGTAACATAATATGTAATGGACTTTGCTAATTTGTTATTATTGTAATTGAGGGAAAAGAGGGGGGGGGTCGTAAAAACTTCTGCGTGAAACGGGAGGGGGGGGGGAGTTACATAATTAGACTTTATTGCGCTACTGTAGTTTTATTTATTTACTATTGAGATATTGGATTGTACGATTTTGAGACCAGATTGTACGATTTTAGGGGTTGGAGGGTAAACAGGTCTGCTTTTGGGATCATTTCTTTGTAAGAATCAAATGGGAGTAAATACCAAGCCAGAAAGCTGTGGTTTAAGTTATATTCAGCAGGTTTATTCAATTTAACATATTGTTGAATTGCTTTGATTATGTTTGAGTTTATTTCCCTAATGATGTGCTCTGTCTATCAATGTCATCTCCGACTAAATAAGTTGTTTTCTAACAAACTGGTCACAAAGCTCTACATGTGTCTAAAGGAATAAAAATAGCTGTAATAATGTTTATTTAGGCATTTTTCCAACAACATATAAGAATGAAAACACAACTAGCCTAATAATATACTTGCTATAATTTTATTTTCTCTGTTAGACTCAGGGCGCTGCGACTGAGGATTCATGGTGTCCGGATCATCTGGTTTCTGATGAAACAAAAGCAAAAGTAGGATACATCTCATATTAAATTAACTAATTTTTTTTAGCTTCAAGTGCAGTAGTTTAAAAAGTATCACTTTTTTTTTTCAAGGTAAACTTATTGTATAAAATTATTTGAATTAATTTATTTTTTAAATGTCCTCAATATTTTTTTCAAAAGGTGTCATTTAAGATTTTAAAGAGACTGTTCTTTTTTTTCAAGAATCAAATTCAAAATTTTGGACGAGCCCTTTTCTTATGAAATAACCCTTAGTAACATTAACAATATATATTTATCAATATTTCTGGGAAGGACAATTAAATGTTTTTGTTTAAAATTGTGATTAACTGTAAATTTATATTTTATCTTTGTGGAATTTTTTTCAGCTTTACACGTTTAGTTTCAGTAAATAAATCAAATTTGACTATTTCATGGAGAGTTTTAAATAATTTTTTTCAAATCATAATGCATGTTATCTAATGAAAGTATTAAGTCTTAACTTAAATGTTATTATTTTTCATTACTTTGAAGATTATTTAAAACTGCTGAGCTCAAAAAAATTGCTTGTATATAGTTTAATAATTGAGAGTTGTTTATTATCACTAGGTGCAGGCCATGAAACTTCTGGTGCGATGGCTGCTGGGATTGAAATCCAATACAAGTAACTCTGGCACATCTACATTGCGGCTTCTTTATACTGTAATCATTCATGATGGAGACCTCATGGAAAATGGGCTTACTAAGTAGGTTGATAAGTCAATATTGATGGAGTTCTTAGTTTAGATCTTATTTAAAGATAATAAAGGGAGATTTACGCTCCTTCCCAAGAGTGCTCTTCGAAATTTGTTAAAAGCAAAAACTATTTTTGAGCACAAAGTTACAATTATTTTTCTATATTTCAGAATAAAATAAAAATGTGTGCTTCATATTAAAAAAGTTTAACTCTCAAAATACGTTATATTAACTTTGGATTGATAGGTGGATTATAACTTGATTTTTTTTTCTCACCTTTTTACATAACAGTTATTTTAACCCGCAACTATAATTTGGTGGATAATTTTTACATTGTGTTTCGGTTTTGTTGATGACGCTATTTTCATCCACCATATTGCAAATCCTATGAACCTTCACTGAAGGCTGGTAGTACAAAATGACACAAAGCACTCAACATTTATCTCCCAATGATTTTGTTTATTATATTTCAAGTGAAAAAGTGATACTAACCTGATTAAAAACAACCCAGTCATCATGACAATGATATTCCAGACCAGTTTACCCACAAACTCTTAAAATGTACAATATCATCACAAAGTCATTTAATGCATTATATTCATAGTAAAAAAATAAACATACAGTATATACAATCTATACACCTCAAAATCGTACATTGTACGCCAAAATCGTAAGAGTAAACAGGTCTGATATTCCTGTCATAAGACCTGGGCTACCTACTGAAACCTGCCCAAAACAAGACAAGAGAAGGAGTACATTCACCTTTATCACTTTTCAACTTCAATTTACATCAAAGCTGGAGATAAATTTAAATCAACAAGGCTAGAGATGAATTTAAATCAACATGGCTGGAGATGCTTTGTAAATGTACACAACAATTACAGCTGCCATGGCAACTAAGCCAACTTGATTTTAAAACTGGACATTCCAGCTGATACACTAAATTTCTAACACTCATTGGACTTCTAACCTACACGCCCCACTTGTCTGAGGTGTTACTGGATAAAAGGAGTTTATTCACTGGCTTATGGATTAATAAATTGTTTTAGACCAATATACAGGTCTATACGATAAGTTTCTAAAAGAAACTAAACTGAGTAATCTGCTTATAAGCAGATACAGCTAATTTAATCTGTACCTGATGCAAAGGGCATGCATGCAAATATGGTCCCTAGAGCAACCATAATAAATAATGAAGAGAGGTTAGGACATATTCATTTCATAAATGTAGCACAATACAGGTATAGAACAACATAACTGTAAATGAATTATTGGTTCTTGCAGATTCAATATCTAAAGAGTATAAAAGAATCCGTTGTTATTGAGGTTAAACTAAATGCAGCTACTGTTGCTAGTTGATTGGATTGTGGTAAAATTAGTTGATAAAAGATAAAATAAAAATTATATGGACAACAATAAGGTTAGTAACAACTGTGGCTAAGACTGCCAAGAGACTTACTCTTTCATTTTAAATAATTTTCTAGTGTTGGGCTTATAGTCATATTTTTTTAAGTCTAATTTTGTAGTCTAAAGAAAACTAAATGCATGTCTTGAATAATTAAAAAGATCTGAGAGATCAGCATATAAATAGATACATAATTTAAAAGGCAACATTTTCCAACTAAAAGAGTTTAAACTCAAGACATCTAAATTAAATTATTTCTCTAGTGTAAAAAAAAACAGCTAATCAGTGGACTCCCTTAGTCATAATAGGGGACTTAATTAGTGATCATTTAGATTTTGTGATCTCTGGGGGGGCGCTGGTAAATTCATACTGAGTTTTCTTAAAACAGAAACTGTCATATTTCATAACCAGATTTGTTTATTTGTTACTTATGTGGTATATTTTTTAAAAAATATTTTAAAATCATTTATCGCCACTATATCATTTGCTAATAATAATAATACTATTTCTCTCATGAAATACTTGCCTTGTTTTCTTTATTTTTTTTTATTTAAAAAAATCATCTTTTTAAAAAATGTATGAATGTATTTTTAAAACTGGCTTAGTAAATGCAAAGGTTGGTAAAATGGCTTGAAATTGTTGTATGTGTTGTTAAAATGAATACCATAATGAATAACATATAATAATACTCAACACTTATTTTTTGCTTCTTCCTGTTTGTGGTATGTTTACATTTTTTTTAAAATTAAGCACACCTAAAAACTTAATCTTTTGGCCATAAATAACAACCATAATTAACTGTGATCACGTAATTGGTATCAAATAATAGATAATTCAATTCTGAATCCAATGGTATGTAACATATTATTACTGCTATGTTCTTCATTGAACAACCCGCCAGATTGTAAAGGTATCTATTGAAGGATACAAAAATGGCAGAAAACCAAGAATATTTGAGAGTTAAGCACATAGCTCAAAAGTAGTCACTTAAGTTTCTTTATAGCTGAGAAATATCTATATATGATTGCAAATTATACCATTCAATTTTTTCAGCAAACCTGAGTTAGCGAGACTGCGCCTCCAAGCTGGCTGCTGTATGCTCAAATTGGCTGAAGAACCTTGTTATGCTGAAATAATCTTGAAAGAACAATTCCAAGCTCTTGCTCTCATGCTTAATGTAAGTCATAGGAGCACATTTATTAATTACAGCATTTTAAAACTGTTTTCTTTAAAAATCATCATCATCCAGATCCAATAGCCATTTGGGCATGTGCCCTTTGACCCAAAGCATTGGTGAAGAATTTGCACACTCTCTGCAGTTTTTATTGTTTGTATGAAGGGTGTTTGTGGAGTCTAATTTTCTTTAAACAAAAGGGGAGTAACAATGCTGTCTCATTTGAAACATGCCATGGTGCATCATTGGTTATTGTACCAAAGATATCACCTGTTTTTATGAAATTAAATCTACATGTGATGTTCAATTGTTGTGCTTGTGACTGTATTTTTTAACCTGTGCTTTCATTCATTGTTCTAATTGCAGGATGCATGCTTTCAAGTCAGGGTTCGGTTTGCGAATCGTTTACAAAAAGGTCTGATAAGCCTGAAACTTCCCCTTGAGTACATAGCCATTCTCTGCCTAGGAGCCAATGATCCAATCAAGGAAAGGAGGCAGCAGTTAAAGCAGTATCTGGCACAGAACATAAACAAGAGAAGAGATTACATTAAACAGAACCCCAGTGCTCGTGGTGAGAAACATCATTCTAAGATTGTAGAGGTTGTACAGCAAATGGAAGTGATTCTGATTTTTAAAGTTGATACAATTAGATATTATTATACTTTTTCCATTATAATAGGGATGAATGAAGTTTTCGCAATTGCTTATGCTTTAAAAAAATACATGAAAAATACCTTTTGTAAAGGAAAACTAAATCAAAGGAAACTTATATTTATTCAAGTCTAGCAATAATTCTTATTATAAATAATCTATAAAAATATAATTCCTCATGAGGGTGCTTTATTGCCTTTTTTATTCTTTTAAGTTCAAAAATATATTTCAGAAAGTTGTAAACAAAAAATTCATACTCTCTATTCAATTTCTCCTGTGCTTGACACTATTTTCATTCAGTGTTTAGTTATATAAACCAAGGGAATTACTCAATGAAATTGATCTTGCCCTCTAACCTCATGTGCTTAAACAAAGTGATCTTACTTATGGTTCCCACCAATGTTACACAAAAGAATAATATACAGTTTCTGTCTGTGTGTACGAGCGTAGGTGTTTAAAACAAATGTCGGATAGTTAGGTTGTGTCTATCGTACTGACAAGTCATTGTTTAGGCTAATAACCTGCAAGCAATGAGACATTACTCACTAACCATGATTTGACACAAGTTACTGTTATTTTAGTGTTACTAAACACAGAGTTACTGTTATTTTAGTGTTACTAAACTCAAAACAAACACCTAGCTAGATTGTTTTTGGGGTGTTTTGTTTGATTTTTTTTTTCTTAAGGAAAAAAATTGTGACCCAATACTTTTGCATTTATGGTCTGGTATGGGGTCGCAATATAGCATTTGTGATGTGCTGCAATATATATTCATTGATGAATTTAAATTCAAACTGAGAAACAAAAATGTGTACTGTAAAAAAAAATCACCTGCAATTCCAGGCAACTGAATTGTAAGCAGCATGATTTAAATGTTGTAGGTTAGCATAACAAATCGTAATGAAACAGATTTTTGAAGAATATAGGCAAGAATTTCATTTTGCTTATCAAAGGTTATGTAAAAAATATTATGAACAATGACAGAATACTACTACTTTAATTCTTATAACGATGTTTAAAAAGGGTGCCTCAATAAATAATTAAATATTGTTTAGTTGGATGTGATTTGTTTCCAGGGTTTTCAAGACACTGGGGGGAAAAATAAAAAAAATTCTTGGAATTTAAAAGATTATAATAATTTTGAAAATTGTTTGTCTTTAAGCTGCTGTTTCGAAACATGTTTATCCACTTTTTGTGGTTTTTTTCACACAAAATACATGTAATATAATATATGTTATAGTGTTAGCTCAAAGGCAGACCTAGGCTTAGATTGAGGGATGATGTGGAAAAAGATCTACAGCTGCTGGGTAACCAAACATGGAATAGAAATGCATTAGTTAGGTCTAGGTGGAAGGAAGTAGTTAGGCGGGCCAAAGCCCTGCATGGGCTGTAGCGCCATAGGGATGGATGGATAGTGTTAGCACTTGTTTGAATATGGCTCCGACTTTTATAATTAGACTTTTTTAAAATAAATTATTGTGAATCAAAATTCTCTTTTGTATGCATTGAATTGTTTGTAAATTAATATATTTTTAATAAAATTGTTTTCTATTAGTTTTTGTGGTGTCATTGTTATTACACTTTGTTTTTACATTTCATATGATAATTTGAAACACAAAAGTTATCTATAAATTTAAAAATGTCAGTGATGTGCAGTGTAAAACCAAGGTGTAATTAAAATGATCATAAGAAAAATCTCAATGTTTTTTTTTTAAAAACAAGAATTTATTTGTCCTGCAGGTCGAATGTTCTACCTGCTGCCAGATTATGTCATACCTTATACAATTCATTTGCTGGCCCACGACCCAGACTTCAAGTCCTATGAAGATGTGGACAGCTTAAAAAGCTTGAAAGAGTAAGTGCATGCTTCTAATAGAACTAATATAAGCAATGGTTGATGGTAACCTTTTCTTTTTAACCTTGCAAGTCACTTTATCAATGAAATCAAACGAGTTTCCATTTTTCATTATGTGCATAAAGGTTATTTGTAAATATTTGAAATGAAAATATATGTTGGTAAAGTTGGTGAAAGGAACGGTTCAGGCGACAACACTAGACACATTTGTGTCTATTGCCTCAAGCCTTCAAACCCCTAGTGCATGATTTCCTCATCAACACCAGTAACAGAAACATTGCAAATCCCATCTACATGCATAGGAGCCAAAATGATCAATAAATTGATTGTGGGCCCTTAAGATATAGAAGAAGTAGTTTTGACTTTTCTTCTAATAAAATTAAAGCCATTTTCTCATTCTATTTGAACAGGTGTTTATGGTTTATGATGGACTTGCTGACACACAAAAATGAAGAATTTAATTATGCATTCCTAAGACGAATGATTGAAAACATCAAGCAGACCAAGGATGCCCAGTGCCCAGATGATGAGAGTGCTAACAAGGTATCTAAAGCTGTCTAAATGTTACTGTCGTGTTGGAGTCAAAAGCAATGTTGGATGTTAAAAAAAATTGCTCTCTGCAATAAATACCTTTTAAAAATAAGCAATATAATTTAGAAATAAAAATGTCATGGCTTTGTTCAAAATTTAGCTGTGTTCTCTGCACATTAGTGGCACTAATAGATCTCAGTGGAACCCTGCTAATATGCTTAAACTGAGGTCCATAAAATCAGAGAGAGGGGGGGGGAATTGTGTTTGCTGTTTACAATATTCAGTGGGATAATGTTTTAAAAGGAGGTAGATGTATGATTTAATTTTTTTTTTAAATAAGGATTTTTTTATCCTTTAGTTGAAGTTGGAAATTTGTTATTGTGTTGTACAAGAATATATATTTCGTAATCTCTTTTTCACTTACTTTGGGGGAAAAAATTCATGTGCGAATGAACCTATGAAAATTTGCTGTGCATCATATTATCAGATCTGTTTACCCTCAAACTCTTAAAATCTTACAATATCACAAAATCGTTCAATACATTATCTCAATAGTAAAAATATAAACATATAGAATATATAATGTACACACTTCAAAATTGTACAATGTATGCCAAAATCGTAAGAGTAAACAGGTCTGTATTATTGTGGGCTTTCATTCTACTTAGTTAAACCTAATTAACACCTATAATTGTGTGCCAGATTTTGGCATTCCCAATAGTGTTTCTGTTTATTATTTTAGTAGAAATAGCCTGTCATCAGATTTGGCAGTTAAAATATAGCAGCTTCATTCAAACAATAATTTATTTTTTAAAATACAATTGCAATATTTGGATTTTACATTACATCTTGTAGTGTCTAAATGCGGAGTAAGACAGCAGGAGAGCAGTTGCTTCATATAAATTTTTTCCTCTTCATTTCAGAAAATGTATGCTGTTTGTGATATTGCCCTTGGCCTACTGCATTCTAAATCTGGAAATATTACCCTGAAAGAAGTAACTCAGGAACCAGTGCTCCCCAGCAAGCTTTTTACAGCTCAAGATAAAGTCAATATTTTTTTGTTCTTAACTTTTATTCGTCTTATGGTTTTACATGGCATAAACAGACCAATTTAATAGAAGTCTTGTCATCTTATTTCACTGCAAGACTTTGATGTACAGGATATAATATTACTAAAGTAAATCACTTAGTATTTAATGTACATATCTTTAATAACATAGCCCCTGGCAGCAGGCCATACTCGTGTAGTGAAAAAAGCTAGATTTAAAATATAAAAAATTAATATATTTTTACTCTTTTTATTTTTTTTATCGATTTGAAGGTTGTAAAAGTTGATAACTGCGCAGCTGTCGTTGGCTTCTTATTGCCTAGTGAAGAATATGTTACACTTCATTGTGCTAAATTAATCAACTTTACAGTATTAGTTCATTATTGTACATTTGACATTATTGCATCCTTATAGTTTATGAAATCTTATAATTGATGATTTAAAAATATGTCACTCAACAAATCCAATGATTTTCAGAACTATTCCAATTTGCAAAGTTATTTGCCTAAAGATTTCCCATTTGAATCAAAGGTAAGATTTTAATTTAGTGAAAAGTTTTAGGAAATATATTTAATTGTTGTGCTAACCATTCTCCTAGTTGCTTTGAATATATATGATCACCTACATTAAAAAAAACTTCTTGCCTTTTCAACTCCCTATGAGTATAGGCTACTAATAATTTCTTTCCAAGCCTTTAGGTCTCTAGCTATCCCCATAATTATTTTTTTTTACTGTACATAAGATACGAAACTTAACTGACAACTCAATACTAAAGATAGAAAAAATACATCAATAACTAGGAAGAAAAAAGAAAAGAAATTGATACTAACGCCTACCCACCAAAACCATTATTAAGCAGAGTATTTTCTGTATTTGCCTTATTTCGGTTTTCATGCCGTGATACTATAAACATTAGACGTTTGATTAACCATACATTTGGTTGTTGAACAGTTGCACATGTAACCATGAATGGGTGGTGATGACGGTCACACTAGAGGGAAGTAATGAAATGAGATCCAACCAATCTATAATGCATGAGTTAGCTTTTCATTTTTACATGCATCTTTTCTTGTTCTTGCAGAGGAGGATTGGAACCAATGTTCTCAATTTTAGTGGTGATTCCAAGAAAGCATCATCATCAGAACCCACCACCACAGAGATAGTTGTTTTGAGTCATGCCCCTGTTGTCAACCCCCTCCCCAGAGCTCCACATAAAAACAGGGAGCCCATTCTTAAAAGGAAGAAAGCTGAGTAAGTCACTCATTTGCCTTTGTTACCCTATTGCCTTGGTTTGATGCAATTTTAAATTAAGCAATTCTGAGAATTGTGAACAAAACTATTAACAGTTGCTTACTATCACACATGGGGTATTAAAAATATAATTAGCAACTTGCTTTACGTAAGATTAATAGACCCACAAGTCTTGATGTAATATTATTTTTTATGTAATGACAAATGACAGTTTTTTAATTATTGATATTGATTTACTGTGATACTTCTTTTATTTTATAGAAAAGAGAGATCTATTGGGGAAGGCTTTGACTCCGACTCACAGTCCCCCAAACAGTCAGACACAGATGAACCAGCACAGAAAAGCAAGCAGACTAAGCCAAAGAAAACAACTGTGCCCCCAAAAATCCCTAAAAAGCGCGGCAGAAAGCCAAAAGTCCGAGTCAGTGATGTGGAAATAAAAGAGGAAGTAGATGAGGAAGCTGAGTCACCAATAACTAAGTCACAGCCTGTCAAGGTAGGAACAAAACAGACCAGAATGGAAGATTTCACTGGATCAAAAAACAAACCTGCAGCAGCTGGCGTCCCCCTCAATGGAAATGCTAATAAAGGTTTGCAAGGTGCAAATGTTCGGATGCCCGGCGACAAGGTGGCTAGGAAAAAAATTCAAGGTCCATTACTCAAAGTTGTCACCCCACCTATTGGCCGTGGCAGAAAACGTGAGGCTGAGAGTGATGATTCTATGACTTCATCAAAGGGAGACGATCGTCCAAGTCCTGCTGTGGTGCGCAGACTCAAACCACCAACGCTGCGTGAAGATCTGTGAGTAATCTTTTTAATATTTCAGCATTCGGGTGTTCATTTATTGATATATTTTGTCGTAAGACATTGCTTCTTCTTTTTTTTTTATTTCATTAAATGAAAATTGATTGTTTTCTTGTTGCTAAAGTGCACTTAAGAATGTCTCATTTTGTTAGGAGTAAATTTGTAAAGTATCTTCCAATTCCTTTTTCAAAAACTATTCATCTGGCAGTAAACCATGTGCACAAATGATTTAGCAACTTAAATAAATAATAATATTAACAAATTAAAAAATCATTGCTTTTTGGATTGGGTTGTTTTTTTTTGTAGCTATATATCAAAACTATATTTAAAAGGGCTGTTTATCTTCTAACTTCTTCAAAATGCATATCAGACTGTAATGACTGAAAATCATAATTGTGCACATGTAACTGAAATACTGTATCTCCTGGCCCCTCTACTGTTTGTGACAGCAGTAGTCGTAATCCTTCTCACAGGTCCACAAGACCCAGTCCGGCTCAGATACCAGTCAGTAGAAAACGTTCCCCACCTTCTTCACCATCCACATCAGCCTCCCCTAGTCAGGCAAAAATGTGAGTGCTTTTGTAAATTTGTAACAAGTGTAAATGAAATTATGATGTGGCAATAGGAAAAATATGGTGGCATAATTTAAATAAACAGTGCTTTAACAAAAGTGTAACAAATGAAGGACTGTAGTTCTGTTTAACAAAAGTGTAACAAATGAAGGACTGTAGTTCTGGCAATAACATGAGTATAGCGAACACTTTTAGTTTTTTTGTTTTTTTTATTACTTTTTATTTCTAGTCATTTTTTCATTAGTCCTGTCTGCTAAGGACGGCTCTTTCTTCTTTTTTGGTCCTGTTTTTCTATTTCAAGCTTCCATATACCTTGTTCTTCTATTTTCTTTAACAAAAATGCAAAGTTGTAACAAAAAATAATAAAGAACCAGTCTCAACTTTATAACAACTATAACATTAAATGTTTTAAACATGCACTTACTGACTGAACTGGGCAATGAAATCAAAAGGTGAAAAACTTATTTTTTTTAAAATTAATTTTAAACTGCAAGAATAGTTGTCACCTTTTATATTATATTTATTTATGGCCATCTTTGTGGGCCAAGTATTATTTAATTATTTTTTTAAATCATAATTTCATAGAAAAGAAAAAAATTGTTTATCTAGCCTGCCAAAGGTGATACAGAACGATACGTACAGATGTTAGTGGAAAAAAAACTCACTCATTTTAAACAGGCTGATTTTGTTTGCCTTCAAAATGATTGATTGATTGAATACTTATATAGCACCTGTATTCATGCTATTTTAACATGCTCACAGCGCTTTGATGTTATTAAATCTATTACAGTAATCATTTTCTTTAAACATTTTATTAATATAATAAGTTAAGCAAAATTAAATATACATTGCCAGTTTCAATTTAGTAAACCTAAAATGTCTGTAGCTAGTTCATCACACAAAGGATGCACTTTTCAAATATTTCAAATCGTCATGTTTAGCTTTAAATAGTCTAAACAAAAACAAATATGGAGTTAGACCTTATTCTTTATTTCTGGCCACCGCAGAGCCAGACTCTCACGTGGCGTCATAGGAACACCGAGTGACTCTGGGTCAGAACGATCCTGTTCTCCATCTGCACAACCATCTCCTGTCAAGAGAGTTCCAATTTCAAGACCTGAGCCTGTTAGGTCTAATATACGTAATGTGTAAGTATACATGGTGATCCTCTGGAAATCATTTGTTCTTGGTTTAAGTTAGTGTTCATTATTACTTTACACATAATCAGCTAATTGCCCCAGTCGAATTTCCATTATGATTTGTTCATTATTTTCCCAGGGGAAATGTTGTAATTAGTATTTATTCATTATTTATAATAATATTTTATTTAGTCCCCATCTTATTTGTAATTTATTTGTTAAATTATTATTATTATCTGCCATTGTATATTCAGAAGTTTAAATCAATAATTTTGATGTTGTAGTGTGGGCAGAATGAAGTCAGATTTATGTGGCCGGCTGAGGAAAGAAGGTTGTCCCAATTTAGCTTTCAATTTCTCATTATTTGTAATTTCTTTGTCTCAAAACCGATGTTTTATTCCAGTCGAAAAACTCGTGTTGCAAATGGGACATCTGATGGTGAGGACACCCCAGAAACAGAATCCTCTCAGTCATCAGCCTTCAGTATGGCTGTTTCTAAAACAAATGTACCTGTCACAGACGTTGAGGAGAATGAAGATGGTTTGAATGTGAGTCCAGTCAATTGAATTTCACATGTGTTTGTCTAAAACTCTCTTTAAATTCTTTTCTTATCATCTATTTCTGCTTGATGTATGTTCTCTATATACTTCGATCCCTCATACTGACAGACTCTTAGCTTTACAATTCTTTCTTGAGAGTAAATCCATCTATACCTACTAACACCCTCCTCCGATTGGCTAAACTTGTACTCACCCTCAATTCGTTTGAGTTTAATGGCCAATTCAGTGGTGTTGCCTTAGGGACTAAAATGGTACCCAACTACACATTTGTGCATGGGAAATTTTGAAAACATGGGGGTTAGAAACCACACTGGACGCCTCCCTGAATTTTTCAAACGGTACATTGATGATGGGATTGGGGTCATCATTGATGATGATATTGGGGTCACCACTATGACCTTTTCATTTTGGGATCACCACTATGACCTTTTCATATTGGGGTCACCACTATGACCTTTTCATTTTGGGATCACCACTATGACCTTTTCATATTGGGGTCACCACTATGACCTTTTCATCAACTTTTTTTATGGCTCTTTTCACTGCTCCATTAAAATTACTTGACTGGTCTCTGAAATCTTGGACATTATAGTCATCTTTCACTAAGACAGCCCCATTCACCTCCACCTTCTTTAAACCTACTGATGGCCAAAATTATTTACCCTACTCCTCTTCCCACCCTAAATCCTGTAAGTCTTCTATTTCCTTTTTTCGTCTATTTTGACTGTGCCAGTCTGGAGGTGACTTTTGGGACAAGCCACTTAAAATGTATGCCTATTTCTGGTGGAGGTCCTATCCGGAGACAGTACTTTCATCAGCCCCTTAACGGGTTAAAAATATCACTTGAGCTGATGCCTTCAGGTCTTATCCAAGTGACTATGGCGACAGGATCGAACTTCCTCTCACATATCTTCACATTAACGTTTTCCTTAAAAACCCTGCCATCCTCATTGCTGACTCTTACACAATATTTTCTCAGCCTCGCCTCTCATTGTCTTCAGAGGAGATAAAATCTGTGAGATCTCCTTGTGCTCACTCCAACTGTGGGACAAAACTATGTGGACGCAGTCTTTGTAAAACTTGCACTTTTGTCATCCAGACTCAACGCATTCCCTTCCCTAAGGGTAGTTTTTAGATAAGGATCGTTTTCCATTGTATTACCCGAAATTTTGTCTAAGCCATTGTATATACCTGATGGCGTATGTAGGTGAGACTGGACAGCACATCTAAAACAGATGTACTGAACACCTTCGAAATATTATGCCAGATAAGCAGTGTCTCATCTCAAATCACTTCAATAAAAGGGACCCCATGGGATCCAGAGATTTTGTTATCACCGTCATTATGGCATGTACCAAAAAGCCCACCAGGGTGAACTTGGAAAACAAACTGATTCAGACTTAAGCCTGAATGTCATGTTCTCCTTCACTTGTTAAATCTTTTCTCTGCCCCCTCCTTGTTATGACCTATCGCAGTGGACTTACTTTTCCCTCTCTTTTTTGCCTGTATTAACTCATCTACTTATGCTGTATCACATTCCTCTTGCTATCTTCTCAAATACTACATTGCAGCAAAATGTTTATTTTTTATATTGTTTTTACTGTTGTTCGCTGAAGTAGGCTTCTTGCCGACACATTCTTTGTTTTGTTGCGTCCTTTCTTCAGGTTTTCCCATACTTTGTATAGCTTATTTCTTCTACCTAATCTGATTGCAGTCTCTCCCCCTTATTACCGTTCTCTCACCTCTAGTTGTTTATTTTTCTATCAGTAAATTGTAATTTAGTTTCTGCAGTGACATTATGTATCGAATTATTATTTCATAATTTAAATTGTTTTTTTTTTTGTAGGTAAATTAATGATGTATATTGATCAGTTTAAAGTAATGCAACACATCTTTGATTGTGAATATAAATGAAAATGACGTTGCCTGGGACAAGAAAAGTTTCTTCTACTAATAGTTACATTTTCTCGTGCTCAAAATGTTTACCTAATACCTTGTTTTAAATTTATAACCAGGTCAAGAGAAAGACAAGAATGCGAAGGAAAGGAACCTGGAATGAATAGCTTTGTTAATATCACCCTTCAGTTTTAAATATTTTAATTTTACTACCATTGTTGCACCAATTGTAGAATATTTGACGCAAAATAAAGAAAAGGGTCTTTAACCCTGAATTTACAAAAGTTTGGGGTACAGACTATTTCTTGAAACAGCCATTTGTACAAAACTTGTGAGTTGGTTAAACATTATGGGCCACCAAGGAGTTGAGTTACTAGTTAAAGTTTCCTACCAGCAGCTAACATTACTGTTTGAATGGATTGATTTAACTTACAGCCATATGTCAAAATTTGCTTAAACATATTCTATATCCTTTTAATTTATGACATTGGTTTCAAATTATAAATATATTTTTAAAGATGTGTCATATATCTTGTCAAATTGTTTTTTGTTTTTAAATTAAGGGTTGGTTTCTGTTGTGTCCTACAATGGATTTTAATGTGTGGTTTCTGAAAGTCCTGGGACAGAAACCCTTTCAAGATTATTCTTTTTAAAATCAAGTAACCATTGTCAAATTGTAAAGATGCATGCTGCTGTGTTGTGAATATTGAGGAAGGCATAGATCACTGAGCCAAGCTCAACCTTCCAGCAGTAGCAGGTTTAACTAGACCATGCTTATTTAGTATGAATGGTCGCATTAATTATTAATAGATGTACTTTTGGAAGCTTTTATGATTTTGTTATTGTTGAACATTTAGTTGTAACTCTTGCAAGGTTTTCAGTTTTAGCTTATCAATTGTTAGGCATTCAACTGAGCAAGTTTAAAATGTAAATACACATGGCTTAAGTTTTTTTTTTTTAAATTGTTAGTTGACATTATACATTATAATTATACAGTGAACAATAATATAATTTTTATAAAACTAAAGTAAGTTTTTGATATTGTGCCAATGTTGAGCAAATTGCTTGTTTTGTTGGTAAACAAAATCTACTGATTAGGCTCATTTTAGGGACAACATTTTCATTCTACACTATTCCACAAGACATTTTACAAGACAGCTATTGCATTTCATTTTGTATCAGACTTTGTAAAAAAAATCCATTTAATCAATTCATCGCTAATGTTGCCTTGTAATGTGGTACATTGATTTTAATAATAATAAAAAGAGAAAATTTATAACTATTTTGTACTGTTGAATGTTTATTACTGAGTGTTGTATTTCATGGTTGAAAGAGGGATGAAGACATCATTATTATACATACCTTTAACAGAAAGAAAGAATGTTGCTACCCAAGCACTATATTTTTTGTACTAATTCAGTTAACTCTATATATTAGTAGCTTGTTACTACATGGAAACTACTGTCAAGCACCAAATTTTAACCATATTTATTTTACCATTATATACTTTGACCACACAACAAAAATATGATTATTTAAAGCCCCCTACATTATTGGCAGATTTTTGTGTATTGAACCTGTTGTGTCAATCCTTCCAGCTTCCCTAAAAAATTATATTAATAAAAAGCTCTGCCTGATCTTAATCTAAGTAAAGATCAATTACTATACTATACACAAGCTGGCATAGTGGCAAATGAAATAAAAATAATGACACCAGCATTTCATATTTGGTATAACTCATTTGCAACTTCGTGCCTCAAGACAAAAATTGTGTTTTAGGCAGAGGTTGCCAAAATAAAAATGATATAAACTTAAAAATTATAAAAATCTGTAAGCCATCCACAGAAAACAGATGGAGCTTGTTATACTTTCTCTGCCAACAGTATTGAGAAGATGCCAAAGGTATTTAATAGCTCCAAGGATACCTTCTGCTAACTAAGATCCTAAATTTCATCATGACTCTTCTCAAGTTACTTTTCTGCAATGTGCTGGAATGCAGTTATGATGTTTCACTTTGAGTTCGAAATGTCAAACTATTACTCTAATTCCATTCAACAAATGTGGTTTAGAAGATGATATGATGGCTCATCAATCTTGGTGTCATGATGAACAAACAAAAATTGAAATTGGAGTTTCAGAATCATTTTCAATATTTTGGTCAACATGGCTGTGGGAGTAAGTATACTCTACTGTTGTATTCATAAATTAAAATAAAGTTTTGGATTCCAACTATGAGGCAGTTTGAATGTGTGCCAAAAATATTGCTAAATTTCTTTCAATTAGTCCAACAAATGGGCTTCCATAAATTTTTGGCTGGGATATGAAACTTTTTTTAAAAATATTAATTTCCATGTAATCATTTTTTTTAAAGTGTGGCTAATTCTTATTCACATATGTGTCTGCTCACACTTCTTTATAGTCGAGTTGTAATGAAATATCAAAACTTAAACTGAAGACACTTCCATGAAGTGGATTTTTAAGAACATTTTAAACAGAAATGTTGCGATGTGATCACTGAAGCCCTGTCAAACTGTCAGTGTTAAAACCTATTAAAAGGTAGACTTATAAACTGATAACAAAACAACTTTATGCATTGTTGTTTTTTTTTTATCTCAATAACAATAAAAAGAAGGAAGACAAAAAAATATGCACATACAACTTATTTGTGTTCTGAAAAGATTTAAAATTCAACTCTCTTTGCCTTAGATTTGAAATGCCACTTTCACAAAGTAAACCTTTCTAATAAACTTTAAAGGTAAAAATAGCACAACAGTCTAGTGGAGAATTTTTTTTATTTTTTAAAAGCTCATACAACAAAAAATGTTTTTCTGCATGCTAATCCACCCCCCATCCCCAGCCCAAACTTGTTGATGAGCAGCCTGCCAAGCCATCATACGCCACAAACTAGACATTTTAAAGATACACCACTTTCCTATCGAATTCTGTCAGCAAAAAAAAAATAAAATAAATACTGGCAAAAGAAACACAGCCTCAGGATACATGATTAATTCTAAATTTCTAGTGATAAAATGATGTACATAATGATTAATGAGTAAATGTTACAGTTACAATGTCTAAAAATATGACTTCATTATCTGCTCTTGATCATCTTGAGGAGAATAGTACAGGTAGTACATCTTTTAAAAATTGGCTCTTGCTCACAGAGACAAACTGAAGCCATATTTTTAAAAATTTCTTGAACAAACATGAATGCAATAAAAAAGAAGACATTTTGGATTTCATGGAGCCAGAAGTCAACATTTTTTTTTTCTGGGAGGTCTTCTTATTTATTGCAAGAGGAAATAATACTTGGTGTCTGTGCCATCAAGTTTTCACATTGATCCATTCTCAAGTCCTACACAAACCGAGGGGGAAAATGCATTATAATCTATTGCTATATGGTGGTAAGGGCTTAGACGATTACAATATTTACTTGGAAGAATTGTAAGAAGCCGACCAAGTATGATCATCAGAGAAATGAGAAATTCAGACATGAGAATTGCATTGCCATTCTACCAATCCTGAGTTTGAAAAATATGCCATCAACACCTGCTGTAAACTCATTGGGGCAATTCATGTTCACTGTAGATAAAATTTGCACACTGGAATGTACAAAGCTTGAACCCCCAAAATAGAAATTAACCAAATTCAGGGCTTCTCAAAATTAAATTCCTCAATGCCAACAAAGTTACTATTTAATATTTGCTAAAATGCATATTTAGATCCCCCCCCCCCAAAAAAAAAGCTGTCATGTGATTGAGAAACCCTGAGCTTTACAAGGTGCTTACAGTATATACATTTGTAAGAATGAAGTGATGAAATTAAGCCTGATAAAAGGTGTCAACACCAAGGCCTCTGGCAAATTTTTAATATTAATAGATAGCTCTGTACAGATGGAACAAGGCAGTTGACCGTCACTGCCAAGTTGGATGATCAATGAGATTCACAATGTTCTTATCTTACATAGCATAGTAGGTTGGGGATTATAAACATGTGTCATGAAAGGGAAAAGAAACTCTGTTTATTGGTTTCAGGTTAGTAATGTCACAGAAATAACTGAAGTCCCTGTTTTCCCCAAGTTTGAAATGTGACCAACCCCTGGTTCACCAATCTTAACCAACAAATTCGTGCAACTGCTTTCAAAAACTAAACATTGGCGTCTTTTTTTGGACAAAAATATGTACACAAACTTAAACCAAGGACACCAAGTTTATTTCTAATACATAAAAGAACAATATGCTCATTTTAGAAGAAGAAAAAAAAAACATTCTTACAGGCTGTCACTCAACTGGACAACCTTCTTCAATGGAGACAGAGAGTACTATCTACACATGATATCAAGTTGATATAAACCTAAGGTGCCTTTAAGTTTAATGGATCATTACACCTAGCTATATCCCTCAAATTTCAGATAAATAAACAATATTTTAACTTTACAAACGTATAATGGATTGCCCATTCTATTACAGAATTCATTTAAAATATACGTACACAAATAATCACAGTCTTTCCAATTAGTCACAAAGTTGCCGTCAGTCATAATAAATCACCTGAATCAACATACGTCGTAAAGTATGATTTATCATACACAACACCCTTGAAATAAAGACTTAAAATGTACCCCAGTGTTAACTGCTGCCGTGATATACCAACTCCTTTTATTGTGGGGCACACTTTTCTATTGACACAAAAAGATGTCAAGCAACCATGAAATTACAAACAATTCATTCATTGATATCAGATTTAAATCTTTTAATTTATTTATCTGGTAGTATTTTTAAAAATAAAATTAACTTCTCATGGTGCATAAATAGTTCTGAGGCTATTATTTGAACTTTGCAACATCTTTGACTTATTCCCTAACATGGTGACAGAATTAACTTCACTTACTCACACTTCACATCCTTTAATTGGTCTTGAAAAGACATTGTAAAGGCACAAACATAAAAGAATATCATACGATATAAATGCTTTTTTTGTTTTTTTTGTTATGCATTTTATTTTTGATTTTTTTTTGGGGTTATTTTTGAGGCTGAATAATTTTTTTTTTTTTTTTTTAGAAGTTCGAAAAGAATATGAACATCCAAATGAGGGAATTATGACCAATTGAAAAAATACATTACAAAAAAGTTACAACCAAATAAAGAAATTTTTTTTTTTTTTTTTTTTTTTTTTTTTTTTTTTTTTTTTTTTTTTGGGGTTATTTTTGAGGCTGAATAATTTTTTTTTTTTTTTTTTCAGAAGATCGAAAAGAATATGAACATCCACATGAGGGAATTATGACCAATTGAACAAATACATTTCAAACAAGTTACAAACAAATACAGAAATGATTAGATCTTAATTACCTCACCCTAAAGTTTTAACTTCGGAAGTCCCAATGTAAAATGATCTTATTTGCAAGGTTGGATACTTCTAAACTAGACCTGCTAACAATTCTTAATTTTGTGTTTTTTAATCATGTAATAATCTTTGATTTGCTAGCTATTATATCTAGACTTTCTGTTCCAGCCTTTCGAAAGATGCTCTAATAAATGTCTAAAATAAAATAAGAACTTTTTCTACATGTCCACTTATTTTTGTGCTTATTCCTGTTAGAGATTCAATTCTTGTATGTCTTAAATGCAAAATAAATTATCTATTTATACCAGAAGTAAAGAAACTTTGCTTAGCCTCTCTCCCATTTAATACTATAAAAATTTTACAGATTGATTTAGCAATCCAGTTATTGCAGTTAGTGTCTAACAGGAATAAACTTGGTTCTTTAATTCTAAAGCAATCACATAAGTGGACATGAGTTAGTTCACCAGCAAGGTTTTTCCCAAGTGGTTGGCAGGGTCATCAAAATCTTGGTGCATCTCCAAGCCACAAGAGGTCCTCAGAGCTGCATGGTCAACTCCATGGTTATGACCAGGGCCGCTGTTTAGTGAAAATATCTCTTCATTGTACAAACGCTTGATTCCATCATAGATGTTCTCATCATCACCACAGACTGGGAAAATGTGCTCCACTTTACGCTTTTTAGACTGCGGTGCAGAGGAAGACAGCTTGCGAGAAATTTTGGAATAACCAGTATGAAGTTGGTGTCCCAAAAAATCTGCAATGGCTTCCCTACATTGCATCAGTTGCTCACTCCCAACCTAAAAAAATTAAGACATATATACAGTACTGCTATTAAGGCAAAGCCAATTAACTTAACAAACCAAAATAAGGACATAATTATAAAAGGATTGTGTTTATTCAATTTCTCATAATGCTATAATCATATCCACTCACATTGGTCATTCTTTGGAGAGCAAGAACAAGGCGAAGCCACCCAGGAGTAATCTGCTCCAATTCTAAGCTGATGAGAGCCAATGCAAGGGTTGACGGACGATAGCGCTGCAGGGAATGACAGGTTAAACACCTAATCATTTTGCGCATAACAACAGAGAGATGCTCTGAGGGGCTCATGTTGCTCTGGCTGGACAACAAGTGGGGGTAGTGCATGATAAGCACTACATGGATCTGAAGAGAAAAAAAATGGTTAAAATTACTCCTGTATTTCTAATATTTGGTATTTTGTTTATAGACATTTTAATGATTGGCGTCTTGGTTATATTAGGTAACAGTATATATATTAATGGTTCTGTTAATTTATACAACAAACAAAAGCAAATTTCTGATAATTTATCCTATAGTTTAATCTGATATTCATGTCTATTGTTGAAAAGATGAGATCATTTTTGTTTTATTAATTCTAAAAACAATGAGCTTGACTTGAAAAGAAAACAAATTTACCGTGTGAAGAAAGTCAACCGCAGATGGCAATTTAATATCCCAGTTTAACTTGTTAAGGATAACTACTTCCATTCTTGTAATCTCTGCAAAAGAGCATCCACATCGACTTTTCCTCACAAGATCCGGAGTTGGGGGAATATTCTGTTAACAACATTGAAACAATTAAATCCAAACGAAAATTAAAAGCGCTTCTAACAATTTTTAACTGATCCAGAAAAGTTAACAATATGAAGTTTTAAATCATTTTTTAAAATGTAAGGTGAAAAACCTACTTCGTCTTCTTCAAGTGTTTTGGCTGCTATGTATAGGCAAGTCACAGCTACGCATTGCAGATACTTAGATCTCACCTGGAAAAAGAAAATTAATATTGAACCTAAATGAGCTTAAATTTATTTGCAAATAGTTATCAGTTACCAGACACAGCTTAAGAAAATGTACACACTAAGGCAGCATTATCTCTTATGAGCAGGACAAAGATGTGAAAAATGTTCAAACCCAATTTAAAATAAATGCCACCATGGGAAAAGTAGAAGCAAGGTAGGTCTTGGAATTTTAAACTAAAAAGTGGACACCTGCCTTAAAAAGGTGATAATGATATGATGCTGAGGGCAGTCAATTTTACAGCCTCTTACTATACCATAAGGGAGGAGCTACAACAAAAAAAAAAACACTTAGAAAATCAACAAGAGATATTTAATTACCTTGACCAAATGTAGCACACGGTCCATCAAAAGAATGGCAAGGCCACAAGTTTCTGGCAAAAATTTGAATTCTGCTGCAAGATATGCAAGCCATGCAGAAGCTTCATCACGCTGCTGATCAGTGATACCCTAAAATAATTATTAAAAAAGAATGCAAGATAAGGCATTGACAAATAATCAGAGAAATATTTTCTGATTAAAAACAAGTCTCTGTTGGGGTTATTGCTTTTAAAAAATGATATACAAATTAAATAATGTTTATCTCTTTTGTCGTGGATATTATAAAAATGCCTATATACTGTTGCCCATAAATTGAATATGCCACTTCAGCCGCTATCTTGTACCAGTTAAGTCAAATTATAACTTTAATAACAATAATACAGTTCAGACTCCACTAATTTCAACACTCTCTAAAATCTCGCTCATGCTCTATCCAACTTTTAAAAAGTTACTGAAACCTATTTTTGAAGCCCCTTGTTACACAAATACCTGCCTTCACTTGAAATCCCCATCAGTATTTAGATGAACCACTTAAGCTCAAACGTTCATCTAGTTTTAGAATTTAATTTAAAAAACTCAATAATAAAAGAAATCCCCACCATATTTTCACATTAATTGACCCTGGATTGAGGGTGAAGGTCGAGTAATTTAAGTCTAAGAAATCAACTTCAACATCCAAGCATCAAACACTAAGATACAGTTTCAAATTCAAAATATTTAAACAACGCATTTATTGATATTCTAATAAAATCTAATGATTCAATGAAGTTGTTTATCATTTTTATATTTTAAAATCCCAAACTCAAATAAAAGGGAAAAGTTTTACCTGATCAGAGTCAGATTTGATGAAGATTGGTTTCCATAGCCTGCGTTCTTTGTCAAGGTTAGAACTAAGTGTCTGCATAACCTGCCTAGCACCCAAACCACTCACGAGACGATCCATCCCTCAACACCCCACTGATGCACCAAGATACCTGTAAAATTACCAGAAAAAGTTCAATTAAATAAGACTTGTTCATTTAGTTGTTCAACTTTTGACAGGGAGATCCAATAGGATCATCATTCAAAAAGGGTCTAATTTAGTTAACCCTAAGATATAGGTACTACATAAATCTTCTGATAAAATAAATTTTCAAGTTAACTTTTCAAATGCATCCCATTAAAATGGGAAGGAATTTGCACAGATGGTGCCTTTTAAAATGTTACTATTGGAGTCTCCGGCCTTTTTGTCTCCTGCCCAAAAAGAATGCAATATTTCATATTTCACAGAAGTAAGTGTCTTAGTTTGAATAAAGAACAAACTTTATGTTAAAAATTGTCCCATTAAAATTGTTTGAAAAAAAGCTTAAGGTAAATTATTTTATTTAAAATTTGGGCACACCCCCCACCCCCTGCAAAAAAAGATGTGAATATATTTATAGTTTGAAATCCACCGATATTTTAAATGGGGTTATGAAAAGTATCTCTACCAATTTTGGCTTAGATGCAACAAACTAATAAATTTTTATTGTAACCCGAGCTTTCAAGTAAGGTGTGGTTATTATATTATAAGGAAAATACATTTTACAACCTCCTACACTCATTTGAAACTTTCTATAAACATCAAAAATATCTTTATAAATATGATTGCATAACATTTGAAGACAATCATATACACTTATAGAAACATAAAAAGGACATTTATATGATCTTAAAACCCTTATAATTTTTTTTAGAAAGTTCTAAAATTAGAAGCTTCAAGAAACTTAAAAATGTATATAAACAGATACTCAAGAAATTCCAAGGAAAGTATAGAAATCTATCAAACTAAACTAAAATTTCCATAACCTTTTAGATCGACATATTCAGAAGCTTTATTATACCTATGTGACTATGTGGAACAATATAGAACTTGCGGGAAAATTCTATAATTTTTTTTTAAAACCTTCAAATAACTTGTACAAAATGACTTTTTATGTAATCATTATTTCGAGAAAACATCATGTCAAATCTGGTTGTGATACATTGTATGGTTCTTGTGATTGACCCCTTATTCTTATTAATTAACAGAGTCACTGTCACACTACACTAAGTACTAAGCTTCAAATAATAATAGTAAATCAAGATGTGCATGGATGATCCCTATTTTTTACTTACTATTGTTAAACCTAACTCTTGAAGCTTTGTAAAGTAGTATTGGTTACATAGTAATATTAATGATAGTACTAAGTAACAGACAGGCTTTCCACATCATACATGCAAAAAATAAAGACAAAGATCATAATCATACGCATATGATATATGCCTATATTGTATACTATAACCATAGCTTTATTAATAAAATATAAAATATAGCCTACCAAACTTAAGACCAACCACTACTGTGACAGGACAGAGGCCTACACTACTATAAATAATATATTATTTTAAATTTCAGGGCTAGGGCAGACGACATATTTGTATTCACTATCTGCTTCACTTGTGATATTTTTTTACTTTGATGAGGTTGCACTTCTTCGTTTGAGTTAGAAATAAGTTTTTATCGATACATTTTTGTATCAACAGTGTTGTTATTTTTTTAAATATAGAAAAAGAAGGCGAGGCTTAAGTTACATCATTTTAAACCGATCGGGTCAAATGAATAGCAGCGGATTTGGGGAAGGAGAGGGGGGAGAGAAAGCAAGAGAAGTGGGCAGGGCAGGGTCACCGACACTGACAACCTCGACTGGAAGTAGCCAAATTCCATTTGGGGATTTTAAGCAAATTACAAGCAAAATCAACGTATTGTATATATTTTAAAACTTACCTGAGAACGAACCTGGGAGAGTTTTGAAACTCTGGACGCCCCTAGGTCCATTAAAAGTGCTAAACTAAATTTACTGCCTTGAAACCTCCATTTTGCGTTCGAAAGACGTCCTATCAATATGAAAGGAGATTGTTCATCTGAGGTAGAACTACTTTTGTTGCCAGTGTAAAAACAGAAACAATATTTATGCGCTGCATTTATAATTAGGCGAAGGGGAGTATTTTAGTATTATTTTGGTATTAAGAAACCAATTAAGAGATTTTGCAAATTCATAACTCTTATACTGCCCAGACATTGCAATATGCATTTAATTTAGCGCTTTCAAACGAGGTTCTCTGGAAAAATTGTCTTCCTCTATGCGACCTTTTTTAAAAACTTAAGTTATAAGCAGTTAGTCGGTTTGGGTAGCCCTAACTTATGCATTTTAGAAAGTGTTTATCATATTTCAGATAATTCTTATGTTTAAAGGTAAATTTATAAAAATTCATTGATAAATAACTATCAATAGTTTGTTTTATATTCTAATTTATAATTTTATGAAATATATTATATAACTTACAATTTTCATAGCAAGCTGTCACCCCTCCAATTTTGAGTCATTTTACGGACCCCTGGCTAGCGATTGGCTGAATGCCAGCTCAGAGCTACAGCTGATTTTAAACAACAACAAATACCCAAACTGTTTTGAAAACTGAGCGTTGCTAGCTTTTGCGCCTGCAAGTTCTTTCTTCAAGCCGTCGGTTGGAAATATCACTTTTGTTTTGATTTGTAGTGCCTTATTTTTCTAAATAATTTCTACATCTTCAACACATTGATGATTCATGCATATCGTTCATGTGGACTGGTGATTAATAATTTGTTTTTTACTGACTTAAATAAATTGAGAGGACTAAATTTGACCCAAATTTAATGACCAAGCTTTAAGTTAAAAAGTAAACAAAGTAAACTTTACTACTAAAGTTGCAATGGTTGTGTTGACATTTCAAATCATTTCATCTATTCATGTTATACGTGTAGTAAATCTAACTAAATCAACATATTACGAGAAATGTAAAATGGATAATATATATTATATGTTTATTATAAACTTTAAATATTCATACATTATATTTATAATAATATTATTGAGTTTGATGTTATTAGTTGAAATCATTTCATTTCAGAAATGGTTGTATGTTTTTAATTTTACAGGCCCAGGTGCAATGATGTCAAAAGAATGAACAAGCCAGTAGGGCACAGAGTAGGCCTACTTAATTGTTATTTAAATTGTCTTGACTGACAACTTCACTAATCTAAAAACAATGTCATTCATATAAATATTGGCCTATGCCTGTACTCTAATTTGCGGATCTATACAAATTCCAGAATCATGTGCTTTATACCCAATGATAAAATGGTAGGTCCAAGTTATATTATTTATGTAAATCTTATTTTTATCAGTGTGTAGTGTGTTTTAATAGTAATATTATAATATTTTTAAAAAAAAACATGTTGACCATTCATTGTGATCATAGGATTTCTCAGGCTCTGCATTTGGCTTTGTCAATAATAAATATACCGGTAATTCACAAAATGCAACTAGGCCCTACAGCATATTATTATAATAATATTTAACATATTAAATTTCTAGGCATATGCCATATGCTAATACCGGTACTATAAAGTTATAAGCTATTTGCCTTTGCTATACATACAGCATACATGTTCATGTATGTCATGTCGGTCTACATTTAACTTCTATGGGAGTTTATGATGATGTCTAGTAGTAGTAGTGGCACCTATATCTGTTTATGACTAACTCTACTAATATTTGTACATTTTTGCTATTATTTGTATAAGTGTAGGCCTATGTGTTATCATAATGTATGAATGATTTTATATAGTAATATAGGGCATAAATGTGTTTCATTGCAATATCAATAGCGCTATATTATCCTATATATATAAAACGTTGTATTAATTATTTCCAGGCCCTGACACATTCTATCACTCAGAAATTACAGAGTTTGGTGCAGAGGCAACAGTGCTTCAGCAACCAGCAGAACTTAAAAGATTTGGTAAGTTTGTACTGAAGATTTTATAAGCGCGGAACATTCAGCTTCACCTAATTATATGACTCTTGAAATTATGAAAATGTTCTTTTGAAAGGTTTTGATGGACGTGGTAGACTCGTCTCCATAATTGAGATATTTTAAAATCAGTAATGTGAGCATTGTTTCAAATTAACAATTTGAAAATTTTCATCATTGATCAGTCCTCATATTCTGAGTTGAGAGAAGGGTCAGAGAACTGTTTTTTGTGGGCTGTCAACTATCAATTTGACTACTTTGCTGGGAAATGAGCTTGGAGGCATTTTGTTGATGTGATCAAGTCATCTCCAGTAATGTACTTGCACAGTAAGGTTACCACGATTATCAGCAAATAATCGAGAATCAGCTATTCCTTTTATTAATCTGTAGCGTTCTTCTTTGCCTATAGAAAATGTTTTCTGGAAGTTAAAATGTAATTTTATTCAATTTTTGTTTTCTTAGTCTTTTATTAAATAAATGTTGTTTATTTTTGTTTTGTTATATGTCAATCTCCATGACTAAATGAATTCTTGCTGGAAATAGCTCTAACAAAACTATATAGCCTGAACTAGATCCTAATTAACCAATCATCTGTTTTTCTATGGAGCTCCAGTTCCTGAATTTCTTATCAGGGTTATTCCTGTACTTTCAACTGCGGGAGATGTGGCTGAGGTTTATTGCAAAGAGTTTTCCTTCTCTTAGATAAACAACCATTTCAGGTGAATGAGTTCCATTTAATTTGGCCACCATCCAAGGCTGAAGAGTCCCATATACCCAAAGTGCCTGGATTTGTGTTGATTTATTTTCTGGCATTGTTGAGATTTGAACTTCAGCCTAGAACACAACAATTCACTCAGTCACCCCATGATATTTGTACCTCATTATATATGTGCAAGACTCTAAAACCGCTATCATTCCTTTGAAAGGTTCCAGTGTTTGTTACAGTTAACAGATGGGTGCTAACATCTGTTGCTGTATCCTCTTATTATAGTAATTATTGTTTACTCTTATTCCCTGTACTGTTCAATGTCTAGGCCTAACTTACCCGTCTCCCAATGTCTAGGCTTAACTTATCTGTCTGCCCAATTTCTAGGCTTAACTTACCCATCTGCCTAATGTCTAGGCCTGCCTAATACTTATATATATATATATATATATATATTAATGACACATCGCGATGTTAGTTACGTACTATTCAAAAAAGCGCCACACACTTTTTTTTTGCCCAACGCCAATTCACTTTGTCATTGTTGACCACCAGCCTCTAAACTCTGAGAATCTAAGAAGTGTGTGTCTCTCTCCCTCCCACCCCCACCCCTACAACGTAAAGCTAACTAGTGAGTTGAATTTCAAAAGGGGAATGCGCCCCAAAATATGGACGTGTGGTGAAACACTCGAGGGTCCCCGCTCTTTTATATACATCAAAAGAAAATTAAATGGCATTCATCCTCATTCCCCCCCCCCCCCAAACCAAGAAACTAAAATATTCACCATTTTGCCATGCAGTTGTTATAGTACCCTAAACATTTCACCCATGGTCTTGTTTTTTTCAATCCCTCGTGTTCATAGAGACCAACCGAAAGTGATTTTATGATTTCGGCCAAAACCGAAACTAGGCTGAAATTTAAAATTGACTTTCAACCGAAATTAAACCGAAAGCTAACATTCTGTTTCGGCCGAAGCCGAAATTAAAACAAAATTTAACATTCTAAATGCATTTTAAAAAAATGATGGGGAAAAGTATAAATATTTACATTCTTTTTTTTTTTTTTTATGAGTTCATCTTGAATTTTAATAAATAAATATTTAATAAAAACTTTGGCTTTTATTGTTTTAATTTTAAAAATTTTAATTTTTTTTAAATTGTTTTTTTGGCCGAAGCCGAAATTAAAACAAAATTTAACATTCTAAATGCATTTTAAAAAAATGATGGGGAAAAGTATAAATATTTACATTCTTTTTTTTTTTTTTATGAGATCATCGTGAATATTAATACATAAATATTTAATGAATACTTTGGCTTTTACTGTTTTAATTTTAAAAAATTTAAATTTCTTTAAAATGTTTTTTTAAGTGGTATGATAAGAGAAAATTTGGAGGGGGGGGGTTCATCCAAAATAGACCCTTGAATGCCCTTTTCGTTTATAATATATTATAATCTAGAGCATATACCTATAACAGACCTGTTTACTCTTACGCTTTTGGCGTAAAATTTACGATTTTGAGGTGCATACACTATATATGCTTATGTTTATTATTTACTATTAAGATAATGTATTGAACGATTTTAAGTGTTTGGGGGTAAACAGGTCTGCTATAATAATTATTGTGGGTCTAATAAAGTCAATTGTCACCTAAATATCAGTTATTAAGGCTATTGAAATATCACCACAATGTTCGCGGTTTTCGTCATACTGTTATGTGTTTTTATAAATAGCTGGCAAGATATCCCCCGTATTAATATTTAGCCTAGTACCAACACATCAGTCTTACGGTGCTGATGAAGTAATTATTTCATTCGGTGACCAACTTCCCTCAACCTCCCTTGGTGGGGGAAATTATTATTATTATTAACCGGGTTTCTTAAAATAGTTCTTGTGACGGGTCTCGACGGAGAATCCCAAGACATCTAAATTGGTCGCCTAAATCATAAAAGTAAACAGGTCTGCAGTAGGCATACTACATAATTACAATACAAGCTAGTAATACATGCACACACTTGTTATTTCGCCAATAAAAATGTTTATGAGCATGGTAAAGAGGAATTTCAAGAAATAAATAAATTGAAAAAGCCAATAATAGGAAAAATAGTACCATTCCCTAGGATTATGCAATATTAATCACCTTTGCCAATGACAAAATTGATCAGCAGATGATAAATCAAAAAGAATATCACAAATGAAGGAATTGAATAAACCTAGGGTACCAAATTTTATTTTATTTTTAAAATTAAAACAAAAATATTGATATGAAATATTACCATTCCCTTAGTCTTAGTTTTTCTTCCACAAAACTGTTTACATTTGCCTAGGCCTACTTGAAATTTATTTTTTGTTTAAATAAAGGACAAGTAGGTCATCATGCAGCTGTGAGGAGTTTTCGCAGAGCGTTAGTCATATAACATACGATGACAGT